GTGACTGGTGGGTTTTGACCCCACTTTCAAATTCCTGAGAGGAAGGACGAGGGGGGCCATTCCCAGGTCCTAGGCCAGGTATTCAGGCCTAGACCTCAAGCACTATAATTGTCCCTGAGGTGACAGAGGGTTGGGGACATGAGGATAGCTTTTGGGATGGGAAGGTGTCCTGCACGGGTCTCCACAGCAGAACAAAGTCCCCCTTCTTGGCTTGGTGTGGAAGAACCAGGATAGTCCGACTGCTTCGCTTTTCCCAGGTTCCTGCCTCCTTCCCTGCACTACTCACCTCTGCCTCCCTACAGTAGATGACCTGTCCCTCCATGACTCCAGGGCCCCACACAAGCTGCTTGCATTCTGGAATGTTCTTTCTTCTCTCTTTTTTTTTTTTTTTTCGGTTTTTCTCCGGTACTGGGAACCAAACTCACGACCTTGCGCTTGCCAGGCAGGCGCTTTGCCGCTGAGCTAAATCCCCAGCCCCCTGTTCTTTCTTCTCTTCCTCTCAACTGGCTTCTACCCATGCTCCAAGAGTCAACTAAAATGTTGTATTCTTTTTTTTTTAAGAGTAGGAAGTATTTATTGAGAGAAAGAAAGCTTCTGTCGGAGAGGGACAGGAGGGGGTCTGAGTAGGTGACCCCAAATGTTTCGTCCTTGTGAGTAGAAAATAAACTGAATTTTAAGTTTTGTTTACTGGAAATTAGTCATCTCAACTGTCACTGTGATAATACTCATCATCCCAGAGGGGCAGGAATATATATCTCACTAACAGGAAATGTGCACAGCAAACTGTTCACAGTGCATTCTATTCATATCGTTCTACGCCGCTCTCCTCATGTCTCCAAACCTCCGTCACCTCAGCGACATTTATAGTTTTTGAAGACTGGGGGTGAATGTCTGACCCAGGGCCCAGGAATGGCCCTCTGGTCCTTCCTCTCAGGAATTTGAAAGTGGGGTCAAAACCCACCAGTCACCACTTTCCTGTGTTAATGAACCAAAATAAATTTCTGTGACCTGGCATTTCTACACCGTGAATGTGCAATTAATAATTGGTGGAAATACCAGAAAATACAAAATTTTTCAGAAAGAGAGAGGGGAGAGAGAGAGAACATGAACGAGAACGCCTCCTCATAGGATAGGTAGTTGTTCCATATTGCTAGCTAGGCACCTTGCTACCTAGCAAAAGACTGCCTTTCCCAGGCTTCCTTTCAGCAAGATGAGAACATATGACGAGGTCCACGTCCTAGCACATGGATAGAAATGATAAGTGTGATTTCAAATTTTCGTACTTAAAAGGCTGTAGTTTGTTCTCTGCTTTCTTTTGCTTACCCCAGGCTGAAGCATGGATGTGGGCCTGGCCCAGTTTTGGCAGCGCAGCCAAGGACAACATCCCAGGAACTGTGAGGCAACCAGATGGAAGGGAACCACGTCCCCAACGGCCCAGGGGAGCCAAACAGCCCCACAGTCAGGACCATTCACCCGATCTCCTGCTGGAAAAATAAACTGACTGCATCCACTTCCAGCCTGTGTGTGGGTGTCAGAGCAGCATAGTCCTGCTTCAACATAGCGGCACAGGCCTTCCCGAGGCAGGCAAATTCTCCAGAGAGATAAAATCCCTGACATCTGCTTATCTCCAGCCCCCATCAGAGTACCTTATTACAGAAATAAGAAACCTCTGCTGAATGAACGGGTGCCTGAACTGGTATGAGCTCAGGTCCTAAAAAGTGCGTTGGGACGAAATTGAAGGGCCTTGTGAATTGCTAGTAAGGAATTCGTGTGTTGGGACGAAATTGAAGGGCCTGCGAAGTGCTAGTAAGGAATTCGAACTTTCCATTGCCCACACTGAAGTTCTGTGGAAGGTTGAAACTAAAGTAGGGAAAAAGGAACTTCACCCACTGTTTTCAAAGACTTCTCTGAGCATGTTAACTGGTGACCCTTGCTGGCCAAGTGAAATACTGCAGCCTAAATCAGGCCAACCCCTGAGACAAGCAAGGAAGCTGGGGTGAAATACAAGTTCTACATGGCAGTAGGAGATGCTAAAGCAAATGTGATGAATGACAATAATAACTGAGCTACTCCGGGCCTGTCACTGCAAAGGGTACTGTAGCATGGATACAGCAAAATTCACATGTAATTCTTTGATGTGAGGGTTTCAAGGTTTGTTTTATAGATACCATTTTTGTCATTTGTTCTTGATAAGCTACAGCATACCTCTCCTAGCCTTTCCTTGTTGCTGGGATGCTTTATCTGTTTGTATCAGCATGTGATTTTCTCATTTGTATCAAAGGAGTTAGTCATTGTTACTGGAGTTAACTGGTGACTCTGATAAAAAAAAAAAAAAAAAAAAGGAAAAGCTATGCAAAAACAGAAACTCTCAAACTCTCAGGAGAAATGAGTCTCCCTGGATGAAGCAGCAGCAGAGTTCTTGGCTGGGCTCACTGGAAGATTCCTCTCCATCCTCAGTTTTGAGAAATGACAAGACATTCTATTTCTACAAACCAACCTGATGGTGCTTAAAAACCTGGGCAGCTGCTGCCGTGGTCTTTTACTCTTTTGCCTCCAGGAGACTCAGAGAGAACTTGCTCCTTCTAGCAGTTGTGTAAGACTCTGCTCTTCTGTGTGCTAGGAGTACATCTGAATTTTTAAGGTCTTCTCGCTTTTCCCAACTCGCCGTGTATTTTCATAAGCCTCTCAAATTCCTCATGCGATGTCTGTTGGACATTGAATGAGTGAGCTCGAGGAAAAGAGCCTTGGCTGTGGGGACTGGGGAGCCATGAAAGGGCAGGACGGGAGTGAGCGGGAGATGCGGGTAGGATGAACAAGTGGAAAGGGAGGGCTTGGGGGAGCCTCACGGGGTGACGCGGGTGAACAATGAATGGCAGTGGCCCAGCCCGGTCCCTCCTCTCTGGCACCCCCCACCCACAAGTCTTCTTCTGGTCTCTGTACATGACAAAGGCCTGTTCTTTCAGTTCGTTTTCAAAATACCTGGCCAAGTTTCCTGGTAACCAGCCAGTCCCCTCCCTGGAACTGATCTAACAAGTCACCTACGTTCACCCGAGAAGTTCAGGCATCCAGAAGACCAGCTGAAGGAATGGCTGAGGCAGGGGCACTGAGCCATGCTGAAAGCAGAGGCCAGACAGAGATTCTGAGGAACATTCCTGCTGTGGATTAAGGTGCAAAGGGCAGGCAGGTGCGGCCAGGCGGAGCTGTGGGTTTCTGCCAGAGTGATGAAAGGTGTTGATAGCTGCGCGTCTTCGTGTGCTGGAAAGGTACCTGGCATTTTCTGGTCTCTTCATTGCAGCTCTTGTGGACATAGCCTTCAAAATAAACATCTAGCTCCGTAGCTGACACTGGCTGCTTTCCAACTCCAATGCTGCTCCAGGGGTCATGTGAGCTCCAGAACCCTAGATCAGCCAGGCCCTCAGCCTCTTGCTGGCTCTGTGAGTTCTGAGAGTGGGACCCTCACCTTACCACCCCACCTCCAGCACAAAAGCTGTCCCTGCAGGCAGTTGAGAGGACAGTGCTAGAATGAAGAGCCAATATTCAGAGTAACAAAGCTGAGGTCCTTGTTCTCCCAGGTAACATGTTTCCTGCCCCAGGCCCTGTGAGCAGTGAGGGAAGGTAGGTAGTCAAACGTTTGGGGTTAGGTAGGAGGTCCCTTAGTTTATCAAGGGCTCAGAGTGATGAGGTCATGGAAGATTGCCTCTCAATGTATTCACCCTGATGGGCTTCAGTGCCTCCTGTCTTACCCTAATGGGGGTGCAGTGGGCTGGCCTGGCAGAGGGAGAGAATCTGACAGGTGGGAAGGGCTGGTGTTGTGTGTGTCAGTGCCTGTGTGTAGGGAAAGGGGTGCTTACTTTTGAAACTTCCCAGTGCCTTGTTGTTAGGAGAAAGGAGTTTATATGAGAAATTAGAACTGAACTCATAGCAAAAACAGGAAAAAAAGAAAAGGGAGGGAGGAAAGAGAAAAAGGGAGGGAGAAAAGGAGGATTTCCTGGTGTCTGTGGTACCCCAGGAAGGGATGAGAACTTTCCTGTCCACCTCAGAAAATCATCCACATGCTTCCTGGGGTGGTGGGCATGGCAGCCTCCCAGAGGGTACTGCAGAGGAGTTGCCATCAATAAAAAGGAAGGAAAATTCCTATAAATAGAGTCAAAACCAACTGCCCACGACGAAGAGATGAGTGGCACCACCTCTGGGCCGCACCCCTTTCCTTCCCCCATTTACCCAGAGAGTGTGCCATCTTGGGGACAGTTCTGACAGACAGCTGCAGAGGCCAGGCTCCTAGCATAGACTTCCCACAAACTTCCTTCCCACCAGGAAGAGGAAACCCAGTGTGCAAATAAATTGCAAGGGCTCTAGGGAAGCCATGAACAGCACCTGGAGAGAGGAACATGGGCAGTCCCTCCGCCATCATCCTCTCAAACACAGGGAAAACTGTCCCCTGCCCCCCACCGCTGTCCAAAGGAAAATTCCCTGGCTTAAGCAGAAAGAGAAGCTGAACGCTTATGAGCTATGGAAGATGCTGATCCTGCTGGCAGGGACCCACAGATCATATCCTTGGAGACCCAGGGGAGGGAGAAAACTGGATGGAATCCATCCAGCGTGGGTGCTTTGCTGTTGTTTCTTCAAACACCAGAAAGATCTGAGATAGTGGGAAATCCTTCCCATCCACTATCTTGTGTAGGCAGGAGAGACCCTCTACTGAGCCCAGGAGCACGGCAAGTTTTGCAGATTGGAAAGCAGAGCTCTTGATCAAGAATGGTTAGGATTTCAGTTTGAGGGACGAGAGGGGATTACCTGGGCCAGAGGGCTTCTGGCAATACTCTGGGCAGAAGGCCCCAGAGGGAGAACACAGAGACTACCAGGGGATTTTGTCAGCAACAAGGTGAATGGGAATAAATTTTTTTTTTTGGTCTGTTTGAGACAGGGTCTCACTATGCAATTCAGGCTGGCCTTGAATTCACTTTGTAGCCCAGGCTGGCCTTGAACTTGCAACGATCCTCCTGCCTCCACCTCCCGAGTGCTGAGATTATAGGCATGTGCCATTACACCCAGCTTGGAGGAAACTGATGGAAGTCAACAGAGAGACAGGTGGGCAAACTATTTCACATTCTTCTCTTTCCAAAACAATTGAGGTATTGGATCTTTCAGCAGAGATAGAGGCCTGCAGATAACCACTTACAAAGCATGGCTTATAGCCAGGAAGTGGTTCAGAGAGACTGACATCCCTCACCATCCCAGCCTGCAGGCAGGGGGGAAGCAAGGTTGACACTCTGTAAGTGGGCAGTGACTACAGTGGGAAGGACATTGTGTAGAGTCTAACTGTATGGTATAGCAGCCACATTGTGTGTGTATATTTTCTTGTGTGTCTTTTTTTTTTTCTCTTTCCTTCTTGCTTCTTTACCAAAATTCTTATTTATTTTTCCTTCTTAATTTTTCAAGTTTCCCTCTTTATCCTGCTGTCTTTCAGTCTTTCTTCTCATTTCTCCTTTTCAACCTTTTTTCTTTTTTGTGTGTGTTTTCTTTTTTTTGTTTTACTTCTGGTACCAGGAATCGAACTCATGACCTTGCATTTGCCAAGCAGGCACTGTGCCGCTGAGCTAAATCCTCAGCCCTAACCTTTTTTTCTATTCTATTCCTTTCCTCATTTTACCAATTCCCCATCTTCCCTTGCTTTTTCTTTCATGTGACCATATATATATGTGTGTATATATATATATATATATATATATATATATATATACATAGATCTCAGATGTGTGTGTATGTACAAAAGAGAATAAGAGTAGATCATTGCTTTAACTTAAATGGTACCATTCATGGTCACATTGTAACAGTGCTATACTTGGAAGATCCACACAAAACTACCCACAAGTGTATTAACAGGCTCTGACAAACTCACAGCTCCCCTCAAACTCTAATTACACTTTCCTCCCCTCTGTGTCCCTCTTCCCACTTTCAAAAATATTCTCCTACTCAAAATACCTTCAACATTAATCCTTTACTCCGGCTTAAAAATACCTCCCACAGAGTCTGACCTATGCATTTGTTTTACACTATTTACATTTCTTTTATCTCCCTTTCCTCCTACTGACTTAACCTCTTTCTTTTCCCTTCTCTCTTTCATTCCCTTCTCCCTCCACATTCCAGATTAACTGCTAATAATGTTATTGTGTGGTTTGTAAGGAGCACTAATAAAAGGGCAAAAGTATCCAAGGAAGTTCTAATGTGCATAATTGATATTTATGGCTGGATCTGTGGATGTTCATTATAAGCAATAGGAATTCTCTCCTTACAATGCAGTGACTGTATCCAACCCAAACGAACTGAATAGGGTAAGGTAGTAGACACTATCTTTTGACAAATAAAGCCAAGATCACATCGCTGGAAAACAGAACCTAACTAAAGAGATCTTCATACCAACAACAAAATCTCTTCTCTCTAATTGACTTCAATCTCTTAATCTCTCTCTCTCTCTCCCTCCTTCCCTC